TGTTTGTGTGCATGTTTGTGAGTGTATTGGTGCCAATGGAGATGTATGTTTATTTCCGCGTGTTCGTAAAATCATCATCCTCCTCCTCCTCATCATTATCATCACCCTCCTCATCATTCTCCTCCTCCTCATCATCCTCCTCCTCATCATCTTCCTCCTCCTCATCATCTTCCTCCTCCTCCTCATCTTTCTCATCATTATCTTCCTCCTCATCATCATCATCATCTTCCTCCTCATCATCATCTTCCTCATCATCATCTTCCTCATCACCATCACCATCAAAACTAGCCTGCGGCCTATTTTTCCAGACGTATTGCAGCGACGACAGTAGCGCAACTTGCAACTGCGTTGTTTCCTGCTTCGTAGCTCCCTCCACCGAATCTTTCAACAACTTGTGGTACCTGTGTACATGTGTGGTGTGACTGGTGTGGCGTGACTGGTGTGGCGTGGCTGGTGTGGTGTGGTTAGTGTGGTGTGGTGTGGCTGGTGTGGGGTGGCTGATGTGGTGTGGTTGATGTGGTGTGGCTGGAGTGATGTGGCTGGTGTGGAGTGAGTGCATGCAAAGTTTATAGGTGAACACACGTCACGTCACGTCACGTCGTGTGGCTGTGGCTAGTTTAATGCAGCCTTTGTGGCAGGTAGGTTTAACTTATGAGTATAGACATGATGACGTGCAAAATGTTCAACGTTTGAGAGAGTTGTGGTGTGGTTGGTGTGGTGTGGTGTGGTTGGCGTGTTATGGTACGAAAAAAAGAGCAAAATAATGATGACGACGACAACTGTGAGGAGATGAAGAAGAGGGAGATAATGATGATGGTTGGAAGATGGTGACGATGACTATGATGATGAAGACCTGAGACGATAACTTTGCTTAACATGGCAATGGTGGAAAAATAATAAAAAAAAGAGATGAAGATAAGAAATGAGTAGATGAGTACACATGGCCATGACTATGAATGATGACAAACTTGGTGATGGCGGAGAATGAGTGACTGAGCGTCTTAGATGCCAGGTAAAGGAGTGTCTGAACAAAGACATCTATTCGACTGGCGTTTAGTCCTGATGATGATGATGATAGTGATGATGATGATAGTGATGATGATGTTTTACGACTACTCCAACCAACCAACCAACCAGCCAGCCAACCAACCAACCAGTCAAGCAACCAACCAACTA